GCCGGGCATGTGTGCGTGCATGCCCAGGATCCCGAGAGGAGAATGGAAGAGAAGGGATTGCGGCGTGACCATCCCCTCTGGGGGGTGATTTCTCGCTTTCTGTCTCTATGTCTCTCTCTGTCTGGAGAGAGCACGCGCCCTATAGCGAAAATCTCTCCAAGAAGAAAAAGAAAAAGTCACGACGTGTTTTTCTATGCAAAAATGCATGATGACTTTTCCGACAACCCAGTAAGTCAGTTCTCTAATCTTACCGTTTGCAAATTTGATGATTTAGTCTGCCAAGCTTTGGCCTGTGCCGCTTGATTGCTTGAAGATTAGAATCTCCTCTTTTAAGTCCTCGGGCCAGCAGGTGGCATGGTGGTTAAGGGTGCTGGACTCCCACATGGCTGACCATGGTCTGATTCCTGGACCTGGCAGCTTGCTTTCTCCTTCTCTGGTCAAATAAATAAATTAAAAAAAAAAATTCTTTAAGGAATCCTCTTTAAATCCTTTTTTTTAAACTTATTTTTATTTATTTACAGAGTTTTGATATAGGATGCATGTGCTTGCCAGAGAGACAGAAAGCGAGCAATCACAGACCCCCCCAGGAGGGGATGGCCACTCTGCAATCCCTTCTCTGTTCTCTCAGGATCTTGGGGACGTGCATACGCACCCAGTATGAGCTTTAAGCTCCTGGGTCTGGGACTCAGGCTGGTCAGCCAGCGAGAGTGCAGTGATGTAGCCACCGCACTGTCTGCCGGTCCTGCTATTTATCATTTAAAATGTGCTGTAGGGCACATGTGCTCACCAGAGACAGAGACGGGAGGAGGAAGGGACGGTGAGAATGCACGTCACCAGGTCGGGACTCAACCGCGGAAAGCCAAGGGGGCGGGAGCCCAGCATCTCAACCACCACGCCACCGGCTGGCCCCCAGTCTGTTCTAACTTAACAAAAATAATGGGCACTCGAGTCTATTGGGAAACCTGGACCTCAGCTTTTTCATGTACAATTCCTGGCACATGGTAGGTACTCAAATACTTAACACATTAAAACCCTGTCTCATAAGGTGAGCCTCACAGCTTACCCAGAGTAAATTACTGCCTGGAAACAGAGTCCCAAGAAACTGTTAGGTTTAGCCTCTAACACTTTGAAGTGTTTAAACCAAGTTTCCCACACCAGCAACAGTAGAAGCACCTAAGAATCTTTCAAAAATACGGTGCCAGATACTGATCTGAGGTGGGGACCACCAGGGCACTGAGATTTTTAAGCTGCCCGGGTGAACTAGCACGTAGCAACGTTTAGAAGTTTGTTTAAATAAGCATTTACATTAAGCTTCAGGGCCAGCCCCCCTCAGCCGGCTGTCTCTCCCCAGGACCTACGATGCCTACTCGACCTTCTACCTGAACTCCAGTGGCCTCATCTGCCGCCATCACCTAGACAAGGTCAGTCCTGGGGCTGGTGGGGTGGCCTGCAGGGTGGGCACAGCTGCGCCCCTGCACCGACTGGCCTTACTCTCCCCTTGCAGCTGATGCCTTCGCACTCACCTCCAACGCCAGTGAAGAAGCTGCTAGTGGGGGCCCTGGTGTCCCTGGGGCTGTCCGAGCCAGAAGCCAACCTTGACCTGTGCTCTAAGGCCTGACCCAGGAGCAGGGGTTGGACTGGCACTTGACGACTGCTACGCACAAGGGAAGGAGGTGGAGACAGCCCAGGATCTCAGGAGCCAGCTTCTCCCCTCTTCTCTCCTTTCTTCCTTCCATCTCATGCTGTGTAAAGCCGCTGTGTAATTTAACTTGTAAATAATAAAGTATATGTGACTGTATGAGACAAAGTGTCATCTGCTACTTTCTCTGGATTCCAAAAGTTCCCACAAGTTTTATTCCAAAAATAATTTTATTTAATAGATATTAGATAATGCATGGAAGGAAAAGGCGGCGTCCAGTCCTGTTCATCCCCACTTCTCTCAGCCCAGCTCTTCTCGAGTCTTGCCTATTTTTTTGGGCATTTTCTTGGCATGGGGGTCTTCTAGCTCCTTGGCCTTATAGTAATGGGGAGCCACTTCCAGAAGCCAGCTGCTCTCGATCTCTAACACCTACAAGGGGAGAGAAGAGGTCAGTACGGTTCCCTTCTTCTCAGCCTATTCTTTTCCACTCTCCAAACATTTTCTTTTATAGATGTTTTTGCTTTAGGGCATTCACTGCAGGAAGAGATGCAAAGTGAGAAGGAAGTGAGAAATCACCCCTGGGGGGATGCCCATGCAGCAATCCCTTCTCTTCCACTCTCCTCCTGGGATCTTGGGCACACGTGCACACACCCCCAGTGTGAGTTTCAAGCCACTGGATCTGGGACTTGAGCCAAGGTCGGCCATGTGGGAGTGCAGCAACATAACCACTACGCCATCCTGGTCCCTCCAACCTATTCTTAAGTGTATGGTCAAAAACATTTTCCTTTGCGCCAGGTGTGTGTGCGTGTGTGCCCAAGATCCCGAGAGGAGGATGGAGGAGAAGGGATTACGGTGTGGCCATCCCCCCTGGGGGGTGATTTCTCGCTTTGTCTCTCTGTCTCTGTCTGTCTGGAGAGCCCTATAGCAAAAACCTCTCCATTAAAAAAAAAAAAATTTCCTTTGTGCAGGGCTAGAGGGACAGGTGCTGGGGCTCTACTATTATCTGCCAAGGCCAGTGCACCTCTGCATGTTATCAAGGTACCAGGTAAACATCCCTGAGAAGGGCCTGGGAGGGAAAGACTGAAGGACATTCTATGAGGACAGACCCCGTCTGCTTTGTTCACCACTATTGCCCCAACACCCAGAACACGTAAGCATTCAAGTACTGAACGGTTCTTGGTCTTAGATTCTGAGTTGGCTATTAGAAAGGATGTCTTTTGGGACCAGCAGATGGTACGATGGTTATGTTGCTAGACTCACACATAGTTGACCATGGTTCGAGTTCTAGACCCGCTGGTTTAAAAACAGGCCGGGTGCGTGTGTGTGCATGCCCAAAATCCCTAGAGAAGAGAAAAGAAAGCAGTGTGGCCATCCCCCTGGGGGTGATTTTTCACTTTCTGTCTATCCAGCGAGCACACACGCCCTATAGAATAAATCTTTTTTAAAATTGTATTCATTGTCATCATTTTATTTTTTTGAAGGTGACCAGAGAGAGAGAGAAGGGAAGTGAGAAAGCAAGCTGCCAGGTCCGGGACTTGAACTGCTATCAGCCATGTGGGAGTCCAGCTGCCTTAATCACCATGCCACCTGCCGATCCCCAGAATAAACCTCTCAGAAAAAAAAAGGACGGGAAGAATGTCTTTCTGTTTTACCCTGCCTTAAACTAGTGTACTGCCTGCTGGGCCAGAACCTAGGCCCCTAGCTGGCCCGGGTCCCATCTCTCCACACAATCTGCACTTGTCTGGCCAGGGACATGGTCCACTCACCTGTCTCATGAACTCCTTGGTGGTCAAGACAAGCTCATGGTAGAGCAGCCAGCGCGGCTGCTGTTCGAAGAGGGAGGAGTTGGGATGGATGAACACTGTCTGCTGCTGCTTCACAGTTCGGTAGCCGCTGCGAGTCAGCCGTGCCGTGTGGTAGAAGTAGCCAGAGGTGATGGCCTACGGAGAGGCGAGAGGCGATGGGAAAGGCAGACCTCTGGGGACCCTCGGCCCTCACCCCTGCTTCAGCTGAAGCTTCTAGAGGGCCTGAAAGAGCTGGGAGGGCGCAGCTCCCATGAGGGGCTCAGGCGTGCTCTCCCGCTGGGGGAACTGCAATAGGCCCTGAGAGGACTGCTCCTGGGAGGAGGTGGGTGGAGAGCCCAGACCAGAGACGCGAACCTTGCGCACACGGACGTAGTCCCCCTGGCAGGAGCTGAGACCAACTTCCACGCGTTCCAAGAGCCCTTCCAGCTGCTCCCGCACGTCCCGGGCTCGGCGCATCGACCTGAACTGCACGAAGTTCTCATAGCACCACTGGGAAGAGTAGCCACTCTCGGCCCACTGTGAAGAGGGTCACAGAAGGGGAGGAAGGGGCTTCAGCGTGCAGCCAGCCCAGAGCCCCCAGCCCCTCATTCCCACTCACCCACGCCCAGTGACCTGCGTGTAAACATTCAGCAGAACCAGGTGGTCCCCACCAGGGAGGAAGAAGTTGACCCGAGCATTGTCAGCGTGGACGACCTTGTCCTTGGGGCGGTAGAAGATGGAGTTGTTGACAGACAGCATGGCAGCCACCGTCAGGATCTCCTCTGAACAGCTGTACCTGGGCAGGACGGGAGGCACAGGAGCACTCAGCAAGACCCGGTGAGGGGAGCACCACTGTGTGCTGGACGTGTCCTCCCTCGGAAACGCTGGCCCACGGTGGCTGTAAGGCAGCTTCTGGTGACGGCAGCTTCCAGGCCCAGGCAGCGGAGCGGGAGAGGACGTGCAGGCCCAGGAGAGCCGCAGCGGCAGGAAGCGCTAGGACCTCGGAGGGCTCTGAAGCAGGAGTGGAGGGTGACCTCTGACCTCAGCACAGTACGGGAACTGCATTTAAAGGAGGTCCGCCACAGCTGCAGCTAAAGCTCCAACCTGGGACCTGAGGAATGAGCCAACTCCAAGCCCAGCCCTCACCCAGCACCCGTCACGGATGGCCAATCTCCCACTTTTGTTCAAGCCCCCAAACTCTGTGTCAGTTCAGCATGATCGAGGGCAGGGCCAAGCAGCTTACTGGCCCTGGTGGGACTGGAACAGTGCAGCGAGAGCTGGTAACTTACTATTCGTAAAAGAACAGTGTGGTGGAGAGGAAAAGGGCAAGAGGAGACAGCGCCAGAGTCGGGGGCCGGGCGAGGGCTGAGGGCTTACTTCTCAGAGGCTAAGATCATTTTGGACAGCATGGGGTCCACCGGCAGCTCCGCCATCTTCCGCCCAGACTGAGGAGAGGAGGGAGAGTTGGTGCCTGTCCCCCTCAGGTTCCCATCCACCACTAGAGAGCCTCTAGAGCCACCCTGGTCCCCGCCCCTAACTCATCCCGCTGCCCTCCCACCCTGACTGACCCTTTCCCTTGGCCCAGCCCGCCACCCTCCACCCTGACCCCTCCCCCCGGCCCAGCCTGCCGCCTTCCCCCCTGACCCCGGCCCTGGCCCAGCCACTGTCCTCCTGGCTCACCGTGGTGAGCTCCCCGAGGTGGTTGAGAGCTCCCAGGGCGTACAGCTGCTCCAAAGCCAGCAGCAGGGTCTCGTATGGAGGGGGGTCCAGAAAATCAAAGTGCATTAGGTCATGGATGCCTAGAGGAAGGAGAGGGGTCAACGGCCCGCTCACGAGGACGGGACTCCAGCCCGCCTCCCTCAGGGGCAGCCCACTCACCCAGGCTCTTCAGCAGCAACACGACGTTGCCCAGGCTGGTCCTCTGGATCTCGGGCACCGTGGTCTCCTCGAGCTCGTGCTGATAGGCCCAGGCAGTATACAGGCGGAAGCACTTGCCTGCGGCCACTCGGCCTGCCCGGCCAGCTCGCTGGTTGGCTGAAGCCTGGAACGACAGGAGGGCAGCTCCTGGTCAGGGAAGAGGGAAGGGCAGTATTACACGAGAAGCCTGGGAGGATGCTGCTGAGCCCTGGCCCTTCCTGGGGGAGCCCCCCACGGGGACCCGGCGCACCTTGCTGCAGGGTGTGACGGTGAGCGACTCCATGCCTGTGCGCGGGTTGTAGCTCTTCTGCTTGCAGAACCCTGGGTCCAGCACGTAGATGATGCCCTCGATGGTGAGCGACGTCTCAGCGATGTTTGTTGCCACGACCACCTGAGAGAGAGAGACGGGTTCCAGAGAGCACGGCCACGTGGCCGCCCAGAAAGAGGAGCCTTAGAGAGCAGGTGAGGAGCCGCAGGCACAGTGCCAGATGGTGGCCCGGCGTCCTGGGAAGGGCCACCCCGCACAGGCCAGGTGTACGTGTCTGTGTGCCCATGACCAGGCTGCTTGAGGCGGGCCATGGTGTGGAGACTGTAGGGTGCTCTCTCCTGCTGTCTCTCATAAGAGAGAGAAACTTTAAAAAACTGTCATCATTGGGCGGGCAGGTGGTGTGGTGGTTAAGGATGCTGGATTCCCACTTGGCTTGAGTCTTGGCCCTGGTGGCTTTCTTTCTTTTTGTTTTTTTTTTTTTTTTTTTTTTGAGAGGTTTTTGCTATAGGGCCACAATCCCTTCTCCTCCATTCTCCTCTTGGGATCTTGGACATGAATGCACATGCACCCGGCATAAGTTTAAGTCACCAGGTCCAGGACTCGAACTGGAGTCGACTAAATGGGAGTCCAGAACCGCAGCCATTATGCTAACTGCTGATCCCCTGGTGGCTTGCTTTCTCACTTTCTCTCTCTCTTTTACTCTATCCTTCTCTGGTCAAATAAATAAAATAAATACAGTTAAATAATTTTAATTATTAAAAAAAAATTACTATTATTTTTAATTTGACCAGAGAGACAGAGAGAACGAGAGAGTAAGCTGCCAGGTCTAGGACTCTCATCACAGTCAGCCATGTGGGGGTCTGGCACCCCCAACAACCACGCCACCTGCCAGCCCCTATTATTACCTTTCTAGGAAGAGAGAAGCAGGTGCAGTAAGGGGCAGGAGCTAAGGGACGCAGTGCACAACGTCAGGAGCAGAGGACAAAGCCAGAGGAAGGGAGAGGTCGCTGTGGATGCTGGCACGGGCCTCATGAGAACAAAGGCAGAAGGGATGGAGAGTCTGTTCAGAGATGGGACAGGGTGTCCAGGCTCCTACCCTCACGTCCACACTCCCACCTTTCCTATTTACCTTCTCACGTCAATTCCTGTAATACCCTCCTAACAAGTCACCCTGCTTCCACTCCGAACCCATTGCACGGCATCTAGAACGTGCCTTGTTTTTTTTTGGAGAGATTTTGTTTTTTGTTTTTGCTACAGGGTGTGTGCGCTGGCCAGACAGACAGAGACAGAGAGACAGAAAGTGAGAAATCACCCCCCAGAGGGGATGGCCACGCCGCAATCCCTTCTCCTCCATTCTCCTCTCGGGATCTTGGGCACGCACACACACACCCCTGGTGTGAGTTTTAAGCCACCAGGTCTGGGACTCGAACCGTGGTCGACTACATGGGAGTCCAGCAATATAGCTATTATGCTAACTGCTGGTCCCTAGAACGTGCCTTTTAAAACATCACATCAGGGGCCCAAAGGTGGCAAGGTAGTTAAGGGTGTTAGAATCCCACATGGCCGACCACAGTTCGAGTCCTGGACCCGGTGGCTTGCTTTCTCACTTTCCAACTCTTTTGCTCTCTCTCATTCTGTCTCTCTAGTCAAATTAAAATTAATTAATTAAAAAAATCATGGCGCCAACCTTCAAAGGCTTCCCTTCTACCCTACACTTAAACCCACCTGAGCCCTTGAACGCCCTCAGTCACCTGGCCCCCGCTGCCTCTCTGAACTAGGTCCTGGTGCTCCTGCACACTGGAGGAGCACACCCCACACTCAGAACCCTCCATCAGCTGCTCCCTGACCCGGAGCACCCTGCTCCCAGACATCCCTATTCCCGCCCTCACCCAGAGCACCCTGCTCCCAGACATCCCTGTTCCCGCCCTCACCTGGAGCACCCTGCTCCCAGACACCCCGGTTCCCACCCTCACCCGGAGCACCCTGCTCCCAGACACCCCGGTTCCCACCCTCACCCGGAGCTAGCTGCTCAAATCCTCTGGCCGCCACTCAGCCGTCTGAAGTCCGAACCCCTGCCTGCTACTAGAGGCCCTTCACAGTCTCAGTCCTAAGCTGGTTCCAGCCTGTCTCCGCCAGTTCACCATGTGAACCTCCTGCTGAGCCTCGAGCTCAGACTCCGACCTCTGACACAGCCTGGCCCTTCCTCTGGTATGCTCCCAGCACTTTCTCTTTATTTAAAAAAATCCAGGGACCAGCAGTTGGCGTAATGGCTGTGTCACTCCCACGTAGTCAACCGCAGTCCGAGTCCTGGACCTGGTGGCTTAAACTCACGCCAGGCACGTGTGCTTGCGTGCCCAAGATCCCGAGAGGAGAATGGAGGGGAAGGGATTGCGGCGTGACCATCCCCCCTGGGGGGTGATTTCTCACTTTCTATCTCTGTCTCTCTCTTTCTGGAGAGTGCACATACCCTAAAGTGAAAACCTCTCAAAACAAATAATAAAAAAAATAATTATTTTTTTATTTGACCAGAGAGACAAAGAGAAAGAAAGGGAAAATGAGATACCGAGCTACGAAGTCCAGGACTAGAACCATAGTCGGCCATGTGTGTGCCCACCGCCTTTCACAGCTGGCCCCCAGCCACTTTTCTTAAAGGACTGTATCAAATCCCACCTCCTGGCATCCCTTCCTGGCTGAGCCTCTAGGCTGCTCCTTTCCAAATCCCGCATCTGGCCACCTCTCGGTTCATCCTCTCCCAGCCTGAGGTGGGCCCTGGCTGCGGCCTACGCCGCTACAGCAGCACGCAGGACACCCTGTGCCAGGACAGGCACTGCCGCCGGCACGGCCAGTTACGTGAACGCAGGGTTCCTCCCACTGACCTTCCGTGCGCCCGGGGGTGTGGGCTGGAAGATGCGGGCCTGCATGTCGGAGGGCAGGTTGGCATAAATGGGCAGAACCAGGAGCTCCCGGATTTTGGAGCCCAGGCGGCGGCAGCGGTCCTGCAGCATCTCACAGGCAGCTTCGATCTCCTCCTGGACGGGGGTGAGCAGAGCAGCAGGGTCCTGAGAGTCACAGAAGGCCCAAGGCCAACGTGCCAGCCCTGTCCTCCCCTTCGACACGCACCTGCCCTGTCAGAAACACCAGGATATCCCCAGGGGGCTGGGTCACGTGGATCTGCAGTACAGACACGACGCAGGCTTCCAGGTAGTCGGCCTCTGGGGCCTGGTCAGGAGGGGGCGTGGTCAGAGCAGGGGCGTGGGCTTGTGCACAGCGTCCCCTCCCCCCGAGCTCCACATGCACCCCATTTCCCCCTCCCTAGACCTCCTACCCCACCTCCCTCCTCGGGACGACCTCCTCCCACGTCCCCTCGGGGGCACCTTGGTATAGAAGATGTCCACTGGAAACCTGCGCCCAGGGATTCGGAAGACAGGGGCGTCATCGAAGAAGGTGGAGAAGCGCGCAGTGTCCAACGTGGCTGAGGCCACCAGGACCTTGAGCTCAGGCCGGAAGCGAGCGACGTCCTTGATCAACCCGAAGAGAATGTCTGTGTGCAGGGTCCGCTCGTGCGCCTCGTCCACCATCACCACGCTGGGAAGGAATGGACCGCGCAGTGAGGGCGGCAGCTGGGCGTGCAGGCTGGACACCAGGTCCCAGGGGAGGAGGCAGGGATGGAAGCAGGGCTCAAGACTGAGCACAAGGGCTCTGAGACGCCAACCACCCAGTTACGGCCAGCAGGAAGGCCTCTAGAGAAACAGGGCCTGCGGTCTGCAGCCCAGCCCAGCCCAAGGCAGCCGAGATGTGGGGGCTGGAAGCCCAGGCCAGGTCGGACATTCCCCAACGGCAAGCGGCTGCTCTGACGAGTCAAAGTAGGAAGGGTATGTTTCAAAGGGAAAAAGGGAGGACAGGGTCCCTTTCAACAAGGCCGGGCCACTGGGGCCGGCTGGGAATGAACAGACGAGGTGCCCTGATCAGAGACCGGAAGCGCGAGCTGCCATGAGG